AAAAACTTTATATAAGTTTAACATAACAGCAAATGCACAACGTTTCGACAAGGTACCTGATGATGACAAAACCTTGTCGAAACGTTTTACATTTGCTGTTAAACTTATAATAAAGTTTTTCTTCATTACCCATTCAAGCCGTCTCCAGCCATTACTGTTTATTTAATGTTTCATATACAGTTGTGTTACATGGCTTACAGACTGAGGAGATGAAATTAGACTAAAATATACTTGAATGTAAAGATTGAGTTAACTTACCTTAACGGTAGTAGTGATGGATAAAAGTTTAACACAGAAACAACATTTCAGTAATTCTTGCTTCTTCAGGTCAGAAACGAGACTCTTCTCAAAGGTCAGAATGAATTTTCATCAAAAAAGTACCAATAATTGCAATAACAAAGCACATTCTCTCTGCAACTAACCAATATGAAAATAGACACGAAAATGCATAAGTGTCTTTTTCTTGTGACAAACCGGGAGGTATCCCCCCCCCCCATTTACACTACGTCAAATAGGAAAAAAATGCAATTGTCCCATGAAACAGTAGATACGTTCCTTGATCAGTCAAGATACAAAAAAAAAGTAACGCTTCAGACTGCAGTTTATCAATGAGATCTCAACTAGATTTAGAGAATCGATGATCAGAACATAGAAATTCGTGAATTTTGTGAATAAAAATGTGCATTACAGGAGAGTAAGGTATGTGGTATTTGCATAATACCACCTCTCTTCTTCTTATCTTAGAGTTGTCCCCAAGCCAACATTAATTTTGAATATAACACCAATTACAGTTACAACTTGCTCTAGAGAAACTGCATGAAAATCACAACCCTTTAAATTTGACGTTGATATAATGAAAGAGCAGAACATGGTGATATAAGCTAATGGTGTTGTGCTAAGTTTTATATTGCCAAAATTGTCAGACATGTGACATCACATCAGAGTACAGATATTCATATTCAAAACCTAATTATTGTTTTTGTGAGCCTATTTTAGACAAAGAAAATATATGCCGCACTAATTAATTGAAACTACTTGTATTATTATATTGAGAAAATGCAACTCAAAGTGTGGTCAGAGGAAAGAAAATGGTATTACGTAAAAATCACTAAAATGAACAAGTTTAAAAAATTATTAATTCAATGTATTCCTAACTGGACTACAAAGCGGTATTAACTTTGAGTTCTATAATGCTTTGCACATCTGTCCTGCAAACGCAACTAAAAGTAATTTTCATTGTATAAAAATAAGTATTTTAAAAATGTGTACGTTTTAAACTCGCAGAATAATTATTAAATATACTTTATTAACTATATTAATACCACATTCATGTGTCTTAATAACTACTTGACATGATATTGTTACGACAGCGGAGGTCACGCGACGCTGGGAGCATGCGCGCTGGAGTTTCTCGAAGGACCCTGAATTTGCCCGCCAGCTCGAGTGTGATCGAGACGCCCTCTTTTTAGTATATAAGCCTGGCGGGAATTGAAAGGGGAGATAGATAAACGAAACCTTCTTACATGCTTACTAAACAGATCTTTCAACCTGTGCTCCACATATCTTAATCTACACTCTGAAATTTCGTTCTTACATGATATCCTGAAACGCAACTGTTACCCACAACACTTATTAGAAAACATTACTAACACCTTCCTAACAAAGAAACTCACAAATCCAATTATGATACCAACTGTACCCAAACTTACTATATACTCGTGTCTTCCCTATACTGGCAAACAAAGCTTAAATTTAAAAAATCAACTTAAACGCATACTTGGTCGTTACTACCCTCAAGTGGATTTCAGATTAGTTTTTAAATCCACGTCACGCATACAAGATTTTTTCCCAACTAAAGATCTCCTCCACATTCCTTATTGTTCCTGGCTTGTCTATCTTTACACGTGTGGAAACTGTAAGGCCTCCTATATTGGCAAAACCAAACGCCAGAGCTTATCAACATATGGGAATTTCCATCAAAACGTAAAATAATTGAGTAACCCCTGTGTTTCCTCTATACGCCAACATAGTGAAGAAACAGGACATCAACCTATACTATCAAATTTCTCTATCCTCTGCAAATCTAATAGTGACCTGGAATTATTGATTAAAGAAACCCTCCACATCAAACAGCATTGAACAACATGCAGTCTTCATTTAAATTATACATTTTTTAATATGTTCGTATTACTGATTTTACCTTTTTTGTTGTGATTTCTTGCTGTAGTTTCTCCCCATGATTACTGTTTTGTGTTTTATTTGTTTAATGATCGTTATATTTAGCAATTGTACTTTGACAATGTCCAATGACTTATGTAAGTTTATTTTATATTGCTTTAGATACTGAAGATGGAATCTGATAGAATTCCGAAACGTTTATCTATGTCTCCTTTCTGTCGATAAACAATGTTGTATATCATAAGTGCCGTAATCTTGTTTATTATCAGAGTATAACTCCTTAATGAATGATAACCTCAAGATTATAATGATGTTACACTACTTAATGATGAAGTTGTTGCTCTTCATTCGAGACACGGGCATGAGTATATGCTCCAGAAAAATCAAACAAACACCTTTCTAGTAGCCTTCACCATTTCTCACATGCGTCATTGTACCACACACTAGGTTCGTTTGTTTTATACTATGACGGTGAGAATGTTTACATTTTAGACAGAACTAATGATTATCCTCTAGGTGATTTATAGATGAGCTTGATGGATATTACATCACATCATGGTTCACTGGAGGTCCTAATAATTGTCGATACTTACATAATGATGAAAAGTCCTGTTGTAAAGTTATAGGGTTTAGTCTCACTTTTATCAACAGTATTAAACTTCTCTTCAAAGAAGATTTTGACATTAAATATTTTTAATCCTTTTCGACAGATTATTTCGACAAAAAAACTTGTCAGGATTTGAAAACACAATCTGTTTACAACAAATCCAAAACTAAAATTTACCATCCAGTATATACCAAACGATTTATTTTACCCAATTTTACGGTTATTAACTCGTGTATTTATTCATTTTCATGTTATATTTATTTCTATTTATTTTATTCTACATCGTGAGAGGCTGGTCCCATGTTAACTTCATTATAGTTTAAGATAGATTATTGACTACATCATCCTTTTACCTGCTTAGTGCCAGATCCAATGGGAAGTGGCAAATAACTCACATAAGATATCTTATTTTGTATGTTAACTTCATCATAGTTTATGATAAATTATTGACTACAACATCCTTTTACCTGCTTAGTGCCAGATCCAATGGGAAGTGGTAAATAACTCACATAAGATATCTTATTTTGTATGTTAACTTCATCATAGTTTATGATAGATTATTGACTACAACATCCTTTTACCTGCTTAGTGGCAGATCCAATGGGAAGTGGTAAATCTCAATTTGTTAGCAGTGTGTTATTACATTATCGTGATATTAACAACCCTATTCCTGATGATTTTGTGTGGTTTTATGGTGAATATCAACAATTATATACTAGCTTAATGCAAAATATTCCCAACTTAAGTTTTGTGGAAGATTTATCTGAAAGGTTTTGTGAATATTTACAACACCATAAACCATGTCTTTTTATCATTGATGATATTATGAGTGAAAGTAGTAAAAATAAACGAATGTCTCAACTTTTTGACTCACATGGGAGTCGCCATTTTAATACATATTTGTGTTTAATATTGTTCAAAATTTATTTCATCAGGGTAGAGAAATGTGTAATATTAGCTTAAATTCTCAATACATTATTTTTTCAAGAATGTCAAGGATAAATCTCACTTGAATGGTTTAACAAGACAAAATTTTCCAACATGTGTTAAATACATTGAAGAAGCCTATCAGGATGCAATGAGGCAATCATATGGTTTCTTACTCATAGAATTAAAACTGCAAATAAACCAATTACGTTTGAAGACGGGACTATTTCCTGGAGATAAAGTTATAGTGTAGATGTCAAAGTAAGATTTCATGTTTAAATAATTATTGATTGTCATGGCTGTGACTGTGAAATAGATCTAGAAAGGTTTTATTTTGAAAACAGACCTTATGTTATTAAAGAATTAGCATTAAAACTTTAGTCAATGGTAAAATATATGTGTGTTTTTGTTTAAAGATCGGTTTCTAGTGAACATCTTTCAGATGCAGATCATCCCCAGTGTTATTGGGTGGCCCACTACATTCACCACATCCCCTGGAAAAGTGGAACCTTCGAGTATCCATATCTCTGGAGTATGGTTTGTTTGCTAAGACAGAACTTTTTTACAGAGGGGAGAGAGAAAAGACCAAGCTGTTGAGAAGTCTCTTCCAAATTTCTTGTTATAATCTGGAAATCGATGTTATATTTAAGTGGTTTGTAGATATCCAGTTTTATATATTGTACTTAACTAAATGTATGTGTAAATAAATAGTTGTATTTGTATAAATAAAGTTGTATAAATAGTTGTAGTACTTACAATCTATTTTCATTTATTCATTACCATACTTAAGAGTTAAAAGGATAATTAGTGATTAGTGGAATATCCATCCCGAACAATAACATAATTGACCTGATCAAAAATATACTATAAAAAGAAAATAATTTTAACCTAACAGAAAGGAAAAAATTGCAGAACGATTATCAAATATGAATATTCCACAAGAAGTTGTTAGAAATGTAGACAGATGGTTGTATACAAAACATAAAGATCACGCTACGCGTGTTAAAAGTCCCAGATGTTCTGTATCTGATTGGGTTAATGTTTAATATGGTATTATTTATTAATTTATTTCTTACCTATTATCATGTTCTGTCTGCTTCTTAACCCTAGTACTATTTTGATCTATCTTAAAACTAGCTTCGCCTGGTGTAAAGGTCAAATAATTACTACTGTTCATGACAATGTTGATGTTAAACTAAATAGGAATAATTGGTGTACGTTAATCTGACGTAGTAAATAATGTCTAATGTGCACCAAACACTACAATCTATTTATTATAGTCCCAAATATCCTTATAGATGTGTTGGATTACTGCCTTTATTTAGATCTGTGAAAGTACTAGAGAAATCCGTCGCTCTAAAACAGGTCAAAGACTGGTTAAGTCGTTAAGATACATACAATCTACACAAACCAAATCGGTATACATTTTCAAGAAACTTGTGATCGTTTTGGGGATCGATGAACAATGGTGGATTTGGTGGATCACTCTAATTTAAGTCACTATAACAATTAGTTTAAGTATTTACTCACATATATCAACGTGTTTTATAAGTATGCATGAGTTGTTCTACTCAAAGGTAGTGTTGCGTCATCGAGGTCACGTGATTGGTGTGGCGCCCTCTATTTTCTAGAACTATCTTGTTTTTTTCATGAATGCTCTAGTATTTACTAGCTAGGGTAGGCGGGTATATAAAAGAGGGGATTGTAATGTGTGTGAAGATAGTGAGTAATTGAACTGCAGTCAAAAGTATTATTTAGCCTTACTT